CTGAATTATTATTATTAATTATTATTATTATTTTTTTTTTATGTTAGACAAGTTTTAACAATTATCCGAACTATCCCTAATTCAAAGAAAACGAAGGCGATACATTTATTAGGGGGACTATACTGTTCTTAATTCTGGGTGTAATTGTATCGTGGTCGGGAATATATTGGAAGTATTTACCTATATCAAAATAATTGTTTCAACTACAAACACGCACAAAGACTATTTGATGATGAAGACTTTATTCATCAACTGTGGTCACATATACATCCAATAACATAATTGCAACGCATGAAAAGGGACATTCCTTTTAACTTAGGAACGGAAATAACACGGTAAGCCAGTCACAATACATAAAATGAAAAGAACTTAACGATCACATGTACATACTTCCGCAGAAGTTACTAGGCATTCCTATAACGAGGACTTCGTTTAGATATTTCGTTTAACATTTAACGAATTTTGTTGGCTGTGAAGCTGAAAAGGGAATTACTGAAGGCCATGGACAGCCCGGGTTTAGAGAACTTAAAGAGACTGAAAAAAAAACACATAGAAAAACGCAAAGAAAAACAAAGAGACACAACATACAGTCTCTCAAAGTTTTTTAATAGTCACCATAGGCGAAAGGGAAACTGGGAAAAGAAAATGGAAAATGGCCGGAACCGAAGATATTTTGATGCTGGCGGCGAAGTTGTTCCTGCAGGCTCTGTTGCTGTCTTCGGAAACTCGCTTGCTGACGGCGCAGCTGGTCCTGGAGGTTCTGCTGCTGACGGTGCAGCTGTTCTTGGAGGTTCTGCTGTTGTCTCTGCAGATTCTGCTGGAGTTCCTGCTGTTCCTTCTCGAGCTGGAGAGAGAAATGAGGATCTCAAGGACAAGGTTTGAGACGGTGAAGCAGTCTGCGTTAAACACTTCGCTTGAATGCTACAGAAATAGGAAACTGTTTCGATTTTCATACATGTATATATATATATATATATATATATATATATATATATATATATATATATACAAGCACGCATACATATATATGAGTATATATATACATATATATACATAGATATAGATATATACGCGCGCGCGCCCGCGTGCGTGTGTGTGTGTGTGTGTGTGTGTGTGTGTGTGTGTGTGTGTGTGTGTGTGTGTGTGTGTGTGTGTGTGTGTGTGTGATCGCGTGTGCGTGCGTGCGTGCGGGCGCGTGTGTTGGTGTGTAAATATATACATTATATATACATTATATATGCATATATTATCCTATAAAATACTGGTAATTTGTCAAGACAAGAGTGTTTATTGTTCGTGTTGCAATTATTTGTTTAATTATTCTTATCGTAACTATCATCACTAATTATTATCATCGCTATCATCATGATCATTATCACACGGCGGTAAAAATAATTATCTTATCATCATCTTCCCCTTACTAGCAATTTCCCTATTACTTTCTAATCTAAAAATAACCCTAGACTTGGTGGAAAACCCGTTTCCCGCTAATTTCCACCAACCCTAAGCTAACCTTGTGACTTTCACTACGAACACTCAAGGATGGACGGATGGTTGTAATATACACTTGAGCTTTCCCACACACGATACAAAAGCAGGTAAATGCCTATTAATCACGTGGGTTCTTATGTAAGCTAAGTACGTGGACAGGAATGTGCGTGGTTGGTTAAGGACGTGCATGTGTGTTACGTGCGTGCATCTGTGCTTTAAGGTTGCGTGATTTGGTGTTCTTCTGGCGCGTGCGAATGGCGGGTGCTGTTTCGTATGTGTAAAATCTTAAGACGTGGAGGCAAGTGTAAATATGTATTAGCATGAGTCAGCGTCCACTGCAACACGTCATTACCTGCAAAACCAGCCGTCGGTGACTCTCTTGCTGGCGTCGGACAGCTTCCTTGCAAGGCTCGAGAGCTGCAACAGGGTCCGTCACGAAGTCCTGCTTCGAGTTAGCCTCCACAGTGCCATTAGGGTACTCGGTGTAGTTGATCTGCGGGGGAAGGTTTTGGCATCAGTCTGCTCATGACTTCATCGCGTTCATTCGCTGAAATCTAAGCTCATTTTCTCTCTTTCTCCTTAACAAGGTCGAGGAAACACTCATCCCTGGGATCTTTTACCTTGACGGAGCGACCCTGCTGGTCCACGTAGGAGCAGAGGCCGGTCGTGACGCCGTCCTGGCTCACCACCAGGATCTGGGCCCCGAAGTCTCCCGACGACACCTGGAATACCCCGGGCCCTTGCGAGGGGAAGTTGCTGCCGAAGTAGGAGGAGCCCTGGAAGGACCCGGGCCCTTGGTTGGGGAAGGAGCCCCCCCACGACGAGGAGCCCTGGATGATGCCGTGGCCGGGGAAGCTGGCGTCGTCGGTGCCAAACGCGAAGCCGCCGTCAGCCCCGAACGCTGGTCCCTGGGGCTGCGCGACGCCGAACCCGCCGAACAGGTCCTGAGGGGAACCGCAGGAGGCCATACAAGGGGGGGATCAAGACCGGAAAACGCAGAGTTGAGTCT